CCCCAAAACCTCATCAGAGAGGGGCAGTGACTTGTCCAGAATCACACAGTAGAGGACGAGGAAATGGGCGCAGCTGGGGGTGACCCCTCCGGACAGGTCACCCTCACAGGGTAGGCCCAGGTGTCAGCCGGGCCAGGCCCGAGACAGACTCCAGTTGAGGCCCTTCTCAGCTCTGCAGTAGGCCTCTCGGAATCCCAGAGCCCTGCTCCCCACCACACCCACATTCACACTGGCGAGAGGAACCGAAGCGGGAGTCCCACCTTGGTCACTGTTTTTGCCCCCACTGGACCTAGCCAAGGGCTGAACAATGTCCTGCGCCCAGACCAAGCGCAGAATGGGGCGGATGGTCACGGTCAGACTTGAACAGAACAGGGTTTCCTGCCTTGGGCGGGTGGGGTCGTTTGACCTCTGTGAGCCCCGGGTTTTCTCACCTGGGACTGAGCTGGGAACACTTCCTGCCTCAGAAGCAGGAGTCTGGACGGTGTAGACACGCCCCGGGGCGGTGGGGCTAGGGCACTCCTCGTAGAGGAAGCTGGTGTTTCTGTGAGTGAATACTCCCCACTCCCCAAACACGAGGGAGGCGCTAGGGAGGCGCTGCAGTATCGCTGCCACCACATCCTGCCTGCTCGAGCAGCCGCGCCCACCCTGGCAGTCTCATTCCAGACTGGTGCCACGGCAGGCACCAGCCCCTCTCCTCTCAGCCTCTCCTCCCACTTCCGTTCCCCAGTCGTTAGGCCCTGGCCCTGGATGGGGACTCCAGGTGTCTTCATGTCGCAGTAGAGGCAGCTGTATGATTCAGCAGGCCCTCCTGGTGCTGCTTTCTTTCCCAGGGGTGTGGGTGGTGCGTGGACCCAGCTGGTCATTAGAGGGCCGGGGCCTTCCTGTGGGGTGGTGCTTGCCCAGGCTTGCCCTGGCCCGTAAGTCCTGGCATCGCTAAGAGAGCTGTCTTCTGGGCTGGAGCTGCCAGTCCAGGGCGGGCAGTGGTGTCTGCTGGCCCCTTGGTGACCTGAGTGCTGTGAATGCTAAGGGTGGGGAAGCTGCACTCCTGGGCCCATTTCTCTTGGCACTGCCTGGGTAGGACCTGAGCCCAGTGGTGGGGGGACAGTGTTTGTTGAAATCTGGGTTTGTTATTTTTGTTTTGTTTTGAGATGGAGTCTCGCTCTGTCACCCAGGCTGGAGTGCAGTGGCGCAATGTTGGCTCAGTGCAATCTCTGCCTCCCGCGGTTCAAGCAAATCTCCTGCCTCAAGCCTCCTGAATAGCTGGGACTATAGGCACATGCCACCACACCCAGCTAATTTTTAATTTTAAGTAGAAGCAGGGTTTCGCCCTGTTAGCAAGGGCTGGGTTTGTTCTTACTCTACTGTGCCACTCAATAGCAGGGTGACGTTGACAGGTGATGTCACCTCCCTGAGACTTAGCACCCCCATCTGTGGAATGGGGCTAAAGAGTCCTGGTCTCTTGGGCATCAAAGGGACCCTGGGAGGGCCTGCAGGGGAGGCCTGCCTGGTGCCTGGCACACTTCCAGGCCCTCAGCACCGGCTGTGGCCATTGTCACCCTGCTGAGTGTCCCATTCTACCTGCCTCACATAGAGTCTTGCTCTGACTTCGTCCTGCCCTCCCCATCCCAGCAAAGCCTAGAAAGATCAGGGATGAGGAGTGTTTGGCATTTGCAGAGAGGTGCTGTTCTTGAGGAGTTCCTTACTAGGCTGGGCACAGTTGCTCAACCCTGTAATCACAGCACTTTGGGAGGCCAAGGTAGGTGGATTGGTTGAGGCCAGGAGTTAAGACCAGTCTGGCCAACATGGTGAAACCCCATCTAAACTAAAAATACAAAAACTAGCTGAATGTGGTGGCAGGTGCCTGTAATCCCAGCCGCTTGGGAGATCGAGACACAAGAATCACTTGAACCCAGGAGGCAGAGGTTGTAGTGAGCCAAGATCATGCCACTGCACTTCAGCCTTGGTGACAGAGTGAGATTCTCTCAAAAGGGAAAAAAAAAGAATTTGTTACTCTTCTGATTATTAGTATGATCAGTAATCAAAGAAAGGTGGCCCATTGTCTGGGTACCGCTGTTTCTCTCCTAAGAGAGACACATTTGATATAGGCATTTAAAATTTGGTTTAGGGCCGGGCGCGGTGGCTCAAGCCTGTAATCCCAGCACTTTGGGAGGCCGAGGCGGGTGGATCACGAGGTCGAGAGATCGAGACCATCCTGGTCAACATGGTGAAACCCCGTCTCTACTAAAAATACAAAAAAACTAGCTGGGCGTGGTGGCGCGTGCCTGTAATCCCAGGTACTCAGGAGGCTGAGGCAGGAGAATTGCCTGAGCCCAGGAGGCGGAGGTTGCGGTGAGCCGAGATCGCGCCATTGCACTCCAGCCTGGGTAACAAGAGTGAAACTCCGTCTCAAAAAAAAATAAATAAAATAAAATTTGGTTTAGAAATCTAGGTACTAGCTTACAGTGTAAAGTAAAAATAGACTATAAAGTAAAAGCACAATTTGGCCAGGCAAGGTGACTCATGCCTGTAATTCCAGGACTTTGGGAGGCCTAGGCGAGTGGATCACCTGAGGTCAAGAGTTCAAGACCGGTCTGGCCAATTTGGTGAAATTCTGTTAAAACTAAAAATACAAAAATTAGCTGGACGTGGTAGTGTGTGCCTGTAATCCCAGCTACTTGGGAGGCTGAGGCAGGAGAACCCAGGAGGTGGAGGCTGCAGTAAGCCAAGATTGCACCACTGCATTTCAGCCTGAGTGACAGCGAGACTGTCTAAAATAAATAAAAGTATAATTTATTTTAATAAATACAGAAACAGGGGGGCACAGTGACTCACTCCTGTAATCCCAGCACTTTGAGACGCCAAGGTGAGGGGATTGCTTGAGGCCAGGAGTTCAAGACCAACTTGGTCAACATAGCGAGATCCTGCCTCTACAAAAAAATTTTTAAATTAGCCAGGCATGGTGGCACATACCTGTAGTCCAGCTGGTGGCATACTCCCCCAGCTACCTGGGGGAGGCTGAGGTAGGAGGATTGCTTGACCAGGAGGTCGAGGCTGCAGTGAGCCATGATCACGCCACCACACTCTAGTTTGGGCAACAGAGCAAGATCTCGTCTCAAAATAAAAATTTTAAAATTCTAAAAGAATACACAGAAAGGATTGGAAGGTTGTTATTCAGTGAAGAGCTAACAGTGTGTAACCCTGGCAGTGACTGTACATGGGATTCTTTCTTTTTTTGCCATTATGCTTTTTTACAATTTTCCATATGTTCTCCAGGGAACATCTAGTACCTTTTTTCTCCTTGATGGCCTTATAGAACATTGTAAGGAGAACCGGCCTTGGCCACATGATCACGAGTGGCCACAGAGAGGTGTTCTCACGGAGATCTTGTTGTGTGCCTCCAGTGTGGCACAGGCTACGTTTCCTAATGTGGCTTTGCAGCCACTGTTTCCTAAGCTTGGCCATCATTAGAGTCACCAAAGTTATGTGTTAAAAATCAGGTTCCTGGCTGGGCACGGTGGCTCATGCCTGTAATCTCAGCACTTTCAGAGGCTGAAGTGGGCGGGTCATAAGGTCAAAAGATCGAGACCATCCTGGCCAACATGGTGAAACCCCATCTCTACTAAAAAATACAAAAATTAGCTGGGCGTGGTGGTGTGCGCCTGTAGTCCCAGCTACTCGGGTGACTGAGGCAAGAGAATCACTTGAACCCAGAAAGCGGAGGTTGCAGTGAGCCTAGATTGCAGCACTGCACTCCAGACTGGCAACAGAGTGAGACTCCATCTCAAAAAAAAAAAAAAAAAAAAATCAGGTTCTCAGCTTCTTTCCATAGTAGTCAAACTGTACTCTTTCGGGGAGAACCTTCTGTTGCTGCTCTTTTTCATTCCTTTATACACATGTAACCAGAGATGATTTTACATCAAGACCCCTCTCTTGAGGCCACTCCCCCAGAAGCCTGTCATTAAGACCCATTGCGTGACCTTTGATTCCCTGAATCCTGTACACGCCTAACTATACACAGGGATGTTTCTGTTGTTGAGGCGGGGTCTCTGTCACCTAGGCTAGAGTACAGCGATGGGATCATAGCTCACTGTAGCGTCCACCTCCTGGACTCAAGCGATACTCCCACCCCATCCTCCCAAAGCACTGGGGTTACAGGCTAGGATTACAGGTGTGAGCCACCGTTCCAGCCCCCATGTGGAATTTTTAAACCTTGTTCTTTGGTTTATGGGAGTGAGTTCACCTTGCAGCCCCTCTGCATGTTGCACCTTCCTCATACTTTGCGGGAATCCCTCCAGCTCATAGTTGCAGCTTCAGAGCGGCTGGTTCCCAGTGAACTGGGAGGTTTGTTTTGTTTTTTTGAGATGGAGTTTCACCCTTTTTGGCCAGGTTGGAGTATAATGGCATGATCTCAGATTACCGCAATTTCCGCCTCCCAGGTTCAAGCGATTCTCCTGCGTCAGCCTCCTGAGTAGATGGGATTACAGGCATGCGCCACATTCTGTATTTTTAGAAGTGGGGTTTCTCCATGTTGGTCAGGCTGATTTCAAACTCCCAACCTCAGGCGATCCACGCACCTTGGCCTCCCAAAGTGCTGGGATTACAGGTGTGAGCCACCTCGCCCGGCCTTCTGATCATTGGTTAAATGGGTGGACTCTAGAGAGGCGTTCCCGAATGCTCTTACTGAAATGCAAGGCGGTGGGGTAGAGAACTCTGAGGCTCCACCAGGGATCTGTCTCATCTCACTGTGTTCAGTCTTCCTGTGTGTTAAATGAGGAGCCTTCCCGCCTCCCTCAGGGTGGTTTCCCAGCCAAGTGGCCACATGCTTTCTGCAGAAGGGCTAAGTGGGCTGCCCCATGGAGTGGGCAGGCTTTGGCTTGCAGCTAGATTTGAGGTGGAATTTTGGACAATGGTAGAATTTTCTTTGTCTTCTTCCCCTGACCCCTGCATCCTAGGAAAGCCAGGCCACCCTGCGCTAACCCCCTCCTGTGGGTCCCTTTTAGGTTAAACCATGATTCCGGTGACAGAGCTCCGCTACTTTGCGGACACGCAGCCAGCATACCGGATCCTGAAGCCGTGGTGGGATGTGTTCACAGACTACATCTCTATCGTCATGCTGATGATCGCCGTCTTCGGGGGGACACTGCAGGTCACCCAAGACAAGATGATCTGCCTGCCTTGTAAGTGGGTTACCAAGGACTCCTGCAATGACTCGTTCCGGGGCTGGGCAGCCCCTGGCCCGGAGCCCACCTACCCTAACTCCACCATTCTACCAACCCCTGACACTGGCCCCACAGGTATCAAGTATGACCTGGACCGGCACCAGTACAACTATGTGGACGCCGTGTGCTACGAGAACCGGCTGCACTGGTTTGCCAAGTACTTCCCCTACCTGGTGCTCCTGCACACGCTCATCTTCCTGGCCTGCAGCAACTTCTGGTTCAAATTCCCACGCACCAGCTCAAAGCTGGAGCACTTTGTCTCCATCCTGCTGAAGTGCTTTGACTCGCCCTGGACCACGAGGGCCCTGTCGGAGACGGTGGTGGAGGAGAGTGACCCCAAGCCGGCCTTCAGCAAGATGAATGGCTCCATGGACAAGAAGTCCTCGACCGTCAGTGAGGATGTGGAGGCCACCGTGCCCATGCTGCAGCGGACCAAGTCACGGATCGAGCAGGGCATCGTGGACCGCTCGGAGACGGGCGTGCTGGACAAGAAGGAGGGGGAGCAGGCTAAGGCACTGTTTGAGAAGGTGAAGAAGTTCCGGACCCACGTGGAGGAGGGGGACATTGTATACCGCCTCTACATGCGGCAGACCATCATCAAGGTGATCAAATTCATCCTCATCATCTGCTACACGGTCTACTACGTGCACAACATCAAGTTTGACGTGGACTGTACCGTGGACATTGAGAGCCTGACGGGCTACCGCACCTACCGCTGTGCCCACCCCCTGGCCACGCTCTTCAAGATCCTGGCATCCTTCTACATCAGCCTGGTCATCTTCTACGGCCTCATCTGCATGTACACGCTGTGGTGGATGCTGCGGCGCTCCCTCAAGAAGTACTCGTTCGAGTCGATCCGCGAGGAGAGCAGCTACAGCGACATCCCTGACGTCAAGAACGACTTTGCCTTCATGCTACACCTCATCGACCAGTATGACCCGCTCTACTCCAAGCGCTTCGCCGTCTTCCTGTCGGAGGTGAGTGAGAACAAGCTGCGGCAGCTGAACCTCAACAACGAGTGGACGCTGGACAAGCTCCGGCAGCGGCTCACCAAGAACGCCCAGGACAAGCTGGAGCTGCACCTGTTCATGCTCAGTGGCATCCCCGACACCGTGTTTGACCTGGTGGAGCTGGAGGTCCTGAAGCTGGAGCTGATCCCCGACGTGACCATCCCGCCCAGCATCGCCCAGCTCACGGGCCTCAAGGAGCTGTGGCTGTATCACACAGCGGCCAAGATTGAGGCACCCGCGCTAGCCTTCCTGCGCGAGAACCTGCGGGCGCTGCACATCAAGTTCACTGACATCAAGGAGATCCCGCTGTGGATCTACAGCCTGAAGACGCTGGAGGAGCTGCACCTGACGGGCAACCTGAGCGCGGAGAACAACCGCTACATCGTCATCGACGGGCTGCGGGAGCTCAAACGCCTCAAGGTCCTGCGGCTCAAGAGTAACCTGAGCAAGCTGCCGCAGGTGGTCACAGATGTGGGCGTGCACCTGCAGAAGCTGTCCATCAACAATGAGGGCACCAAGCTCATCGTCCTCAATAGCCTCAAGAAGATGGCGAACCTGACTGAGCTGGAGCTGATCCGCTGCGACCTGGAGCGCATCCCGCACTCCATCTTCAGCCTTCACAACCTGCAGGAGATCGACCTCAAGGACAACAACCTCAAGACCATCGAGGAGATCATCAGCTTCCAGCACCTGCACCGCCTCACCTGCCTTAAGCTGTGGTATAACCACATTGCCTACATCCCCATCCAGATCGGCAACCTCACCAACCTGGAGCGCCTCTACCTGAACCGCAACAAGATCGAGAAGATCCCCACCCAGCTCTTCTACTGCCGCAAGCTGCGCTACCTGGACCTCAGCCACAACAACCTGACCTTCCTCCCCGCCGACATCGGCCTCCTGCAGAACCTCCAGAACCTGGCCATCACGGCCAACCGGGTGAGTGGCCCGGCCACGGCTCGGCATGTGGGCTAGCGGGCGGCCTGGCCGGGGCCTGTGGTGGGACACTTGGCAGGCCCAGTGTCCTGGGACCGATGCCGCTGAGTGTGGAGTCCTCACTGGGGTTTACAGAACCACCCAGGAGGGAAGCTCTGTTCAAGAGACAGACTCCTGGGGCCCCGTGCCCAGCCTGCCGAATTCCAGTCTCTGGGCGCAGGGGCCTGTCTTTGCTCCAGAATGCTGCAGTTCTCCTGCCTGGAGAGACTGTATGGCCAGGCAGGACCTGTCACCTTTGAGCCCAGTTTCTCGTTAGCAGGGATGTGCGTGGGCAGGAGGTCCAAGGCCGGGGGTTCTCTCGAAAAGCCGGGTGGTAGGAGTCAAGACTTGTCCTGGAGCTTGTGTCTTCCTCAGCTTGTTCTCAGTCGGATTTGGAGGCCAGGGGCCAGTCCGGGTCTACCTGGGACAGAAACTGTGTGTGGCCAGTGCTGGCTGAGGGGAAACCGGATGGTCTCTGCGGCTCCCAGCATCTCTCACACATCTTTCTCCACTGTATTTGGCAGTGTCAAAGGCAGAGTTGGGCTTGGTTGGGGCCTGCTTGTCACTGCCTACCTTTCTGGAAAGGAAATTGTGCAAATCATTGTAACTGGGAGTTTGGGAGGCTACATCCTTGACATACTTTCAAGACTGTTGGTGGCCTGTGGGTGCCGGTCCCTTCCTGGCTGGGAAAGCCCCCATCCAAGGGCCCCTTGGTGGAGGCAGTGTGGATGGAGGGCTCTGTGATCTGGCCTCCACAGTGGAAACAGCCGCTGCCATTGCAGGGACCCTCCCTCATCCACCCCTCCTGGGGACCTGCTGGTCCTCCTGGGCCTCACATTCAAGAGGTTCCTGCAATGAGGCAGGTGGTAGAGGAATCCTGAGGCCAGGGCCTGGGAGACAGAAGAGCCAAAATAGCCACCACTTCTGCCCCTGACACAGCAGCAGCTGTCATGCCGGGCCCCTAACAACTTTACTAGGGATGACACCAGTTTCAAGAGGCTAAAGAAGAGACCTGGAGTTAACCAGGCACAGTGGGTCACACCTGTAATCTGAGCACTTAGGGAAGCCAAGGTGCGACGATGACTTGAGCTCAGGAGTTCGAGACCAGCCTGGGCAGCATAGGGAAACCTCATCTCTATCAAAAATACAGAAATTATCCAGGCATGGTGGCATGTGCCTGTAGTCCGAGCTACTTGGGAGGCTGAGGCAGGATCACTTCAGCCTAGGAGTTCGAGACTGCAGTGAGCTATGATTTTACCACTGTACTCCAGCCTGGGCAATAGCGTGAGAACCAGTCTCTCTTTTCTTTTTTTACTTTGAGACAGAGTCTCACACTGTTGCCTGGGCTAGAGTACAATGGCACGATCTCGGCTCACTGCAACCTCTGCCTCCCAGGTTCAAGTGATTCCCCTGCCTCAGCCTCCCAAGTAGCTGGGATTACAGGCACCCACCACCATGCCCGGCTAATTTTATGCATTGTCAGTAGAGACAGGGTTTCACCAGGTTGGCCAGGCTGGTCTCGAACTCCTGGCCTGATGATCTGCCTGCCTCAGCCTCCCATAGTGCTGGGACTACAAGCATGAGCTGTGCCCAGCTGAGACCCAGTCTCAAAATAAAAAAAAATTAAAAAAAAAAAAAAAGAGCCCTGGAGCCAGCAAATGAAACATGGGGTGTATTTGGGGAACTTACCAGTTAGCATAGTGCATAGGAGCTCTGCTGGAGCACTGGGTCCCTGGGAACCCAGAGGAACAGGCCTCTGAAGGACAAGGAGGAGGAAGCCAGGTGGAGGGGAAGGGGAGAGTCCAGGAGGTTCTGGTGGGCCAGCGGCAGTGAGCCAAATAGCAAAACCGCTCCTGCTCATATAAAGCATTGCAATTTCCGGAGCATTTTCACTGAGCACCCTTCCCTCCGCAGCCTCCGTGTGGCAACCCACATTTCTTAGTATGCTTGTTGCTGTTGGGTGCATCTGCCATGCCGCGCAAGGTGAAGTCCCTGTTGGTTTAGTGAGCACCTGCTCTGTGTTCACCCTGTGCCGGCATGACGTGCCTGTCCTCTTCCCACCAACCCCCTGAGTCCTCCCAACAGAATCTGTCTCTACATCCCCGGGCACGGAGGGAGGGGGTTCCTGGAAAGCCCTTTCTGTCCTCCCCAGCCCCAGGACAGGACACACCTTCTCCAGCATCACTCAGAATGGAGGCTTCGGGTCCTCCAGATGCCTGCTGGCCTGGCAGCCTCCCTCCCCTCCTCCCCAGGGCTCTCTTACTACAGAGCAGCCTGCAACTCACACGTATCAGGAATGTTGACAAGTCCATCTCCTGCCATCCCATATGATGACTTGAGCACAGCGGGAGAGTGTACCAGGGCGGGGTTTTCTCTCGCAGTTCTGGGGCAGGCCCACTGAATAGGAAAATTGGAGTCCCGTGGGGAGAAGCCACCTGTGGGAAGCCCAGAACAAACCCAACGCTTCTTTATGGAGAGGGACCCTGTGGTTTCCCCATGTCACAGTGTTGCCCTTGATGAGCTCGGGCTTTCCCCACAGCTCCTGTAGAGCAGTGTGTGCTAGGGCTGTCCTGGCTAGGGGAGGGTGTGAGCTTCCAGCCTGGCTCCCCATCCTGTCCCTCATCCCCTGCTCATCCCACCAGCCTTGCCTGTTAGTGTCATGCCTGTTGGCTGAGGTCACCCCTCAGGAAAGGAGCTGGCGGCAGGCATGCTGTCCCAGAGGAAGGAGACCCTCTGGACACCCTGTTTAGCACAGGGCTTAATCACATCCTGTCCCCGCCCCCTGGAACTCCAGAGCCTTAATAGGGAAAACAGTTTTCCTTGGGCCAGTCCCAGGCAGGCCCCTCATTTTAAGTGGGAGGCCTGAGCCCCTCTTCCTCCTCTCTCGCCCTCCGCAGCTCCTCAGCCATCTTGGCCTGTGGTGACCAGGAGGGGTGGGCGTGGTCTGACCAGGCCCTTGGGTGCTGTTTCTCCAGATTTAAATTCTTGCTAATTAGCCTTGACAAAACAGGTTATTCATTCACTCACTTGTTTACTGATTTGTGCAAATTGGGTGCCTTTTTTTTTTTTTTTTTTTTTAAGAGTCCGGGTCTCACTATGTTTTCTAGGCTGGTCTTAAACTCCTGGCCTTGAAGCCTTCCACCTTGGCCTCCCAAAGTGCTGGTGTTACAGGCATGAGCCGCTGCGCGTGGCCTTTGTGCAAATGGTTTTTGAGCCCTCCTAGAATCCAGCTATGGAGTGAGGCGCCGGGGACACAGGGATGAAGGCCAAGTCACCAGGCAGTTAGCACGGTGCATAGGAGCTCTGCCGGAGCCCCAGGTCCCTGGGAACACAGAGGAACAGGCCCCTGAAGGACGAGGAGGAGGAAGCCAGGTGGAGGGGAAAGGGAGAGTCCAGGAGGTTCTGGTGGGGAGGAGCCCTGAGATGGGCTGCCCAGGAATGTGGGCATCCCGGAGAGCAGAGGCGGGGCTGTGTTAGGGGTGTTGGGCGGCAGGAGGGTCTGTCCTCCACCTCAGTTTCAGTTGTCTCTTCATTTGTTTAATAGCCGGTCCCTTAGGCAGGGCACGATGGCTCACCCTGTAATCCCAGCACTTTGGGAGGCTGAGGTGGGCAGATCTTGAGGTCAGAAGTTCGAGACCAGCCTGACCGATATGGTGAAACCCCATCTCTGCTAAAAATACAAAAATCAGCCCAGGCATGGTAGCAGGCACCTATAATCCCAGCTATTCAGGAGGCTGAGGCAGGAGAATTGCTTGAACCCAAGAGACAGAGGTTGCAGTGGGCCGAAACTGCGCTCCAGCCTGAGTCACAGAACAAGACTCCGCCTTGGGGAAAAAAAAAAAAAAAAAAAAAAAAGAAAGAAAAACAGCTGGTCCCTTGCCAGCCCATAGGCTTTGATGACTAAGACCTAGCTCTTTTGTTCAAAGTCGGAGGAATAGCAAATGTTTACCAAATTCCCAGTGATTGAGTGGGCGAAGGAATGAGCTGCCTTGCAATGTGAGCTTCCTCTTGCTGTAGTGTGCGGGGTGGGTAAGAGGTGGGAGAGTGGAAGAGAGCTGTTAGGAGGCTGTGATTAACCATCAGGTGAGGCTGTGAGGCCTGGCGTGGCCACGGCCGGTAGGGATGGAGAGGCATGGACGGATCTGGAAGACGCTGGCGGACGGGGTTGATGGTGGAGGTGGTCTGAGTGACAGGTTTTTTGCGTGGATTGTTGAGACTGGAGCAGGCAGGTTTTCAGAGGCCAAGGTGTGTCTCATGTCAGGTGTCTGGGGCCCAGGATGTCCAGGGGACCATACTGAATCCACCTGAAGCCCAGAGAGTTACCCTTTCCAGGCTCATGGGTGAAGAGGGGTCCTTGACACGGTCACTGTGGAGACCAGAGAGGGAGGAGGACAGGAGTCTGTGGAAGAGGAGGGCAAGGCCAGAGCTGGGTTAGGAACTGGTGATTTTGGCAAGAGTTAAGGGTGGACGAGGACAGAAGCCGCGTGATGGGGGTGGAGTGAGAAGAGAGACAGCAGCTTTCCGGTGGTTGGTCGGGAAGGCCAGAGAGCCAAGGACAGTGGAGGGGCCCTGGAAGGTTCCTGGGAAAGCTGTCTTTTTCAAAGATCAGGTAGAGTTGAGGCCTTTCAGTGCTGATGGGGACCCGCCTAAGTCCCTGGGGAGGTAAGAGGGGGTGCAATTGAGGGATTGGGAACCAACCTCAAGCCTCCAGGGCCCGGGCAGACGACACTTTGGGAGAGAAGGATAGGTCCAGAGGATGGGTGTGGCTGTGGTGGGAGCCAAACAACTGAAAGTACCTCCCCTTTCCTCTGTGGGGCCTGGAGAGGGCTCCCTGCCTCAGAGCAGGGCATGTTCCAGGGAGGAAGCCTTTAAGGGAGGGGACTCTAGAGCCAGACTCCATGCGGACCTAAGCTCTACCACTTGCTGGCCGGAGCTTTCCTGCTGTCCCTGACCACTGAGTAGTATGTCAGCAGAGGAGATCACAGGGTGGGAGTGGGGTCTTTCTGGGAAGGTTCTGGCCCCTGGGTCCCGCAGATCCCACTTCCCATCTGCCCTCTGACCTTCAGCCCTGGTGACCTCAAAGCCAACCCCAGACACATTCCCAATCCTGGGCCACAATGGTGGCAGCGTAGGATCCCGAGGCCAGGAGCCTCCCTGGAAGCACCTTGTGCACCCAGGTGAGGCGTGGTGACTCACACCTGTCATCCCGGCACTTTGGGAATTCAAGGCAGGAGGATCACCTGAGGTCAGGAGTTCGAGACCAGCCTGGCCGACATGGTGATACCCCATCTCTACAAACAATACAGAAATTAGCCAGGCATGGTGGCGCGTACCTGTAATCCTAGCTACTCAGGAAGCTGAGGCAGGAGAATTGCTTGAACCCGGGAGGCAGAGGTTACAGTGAGCCAGGATTGTGCCACTGAACTCTCTAGGTGACAGAGTGAGACTCCGTTCCCGCTCCCACACACACACACAAAAAGAAAAGGAAGCACTTTGCTGGGTCTTGGCCATGCTTATTTCCCTGCTGGGATAGCCAGGTTGCTACCTGGGAACTGAGGTCCTCCTCCAAAAATGGCCAGAGAGAGTGCCCGGGAAGTTGAGATCAAGTCCACAAAAAGGTCCTAAGCCACTGCATATCTAAGCTCAGAGGCATTTCTAGTCCAAACTGTGCCTTTTACAGATGGGGAAACTGAGGCCCGGGGGGGCGACTTCCAGGGTTACCCGGTGACTGAGTGCCGTATTTGGGAGGAGGAGCATATAGCATGGGCGGTGAGTGGGAGGAAGGAAGCAAGGCATACGTCCCGTCCTGGCCCTTTCGGAGAGGCTACAACCTCAGACGAGCGGCATGTCATCTCTCCCAGCCTCAGTCTCCTTGGCAGGAAAATGGGGGCAGTGACAGAGCAACCTCGGAGAGGGTGCTGTGCAGTCTGCCCATCATCCTCACTTGGGATTGGGGCCCAGGGTCCCTGACTCCTGCCCTCCTCCCCGCTCCCATCTGAAGGCGGCAGCTTTGGGACAGTCAGGCTCAGTAAGAACTCACAGCCCCAGCTGATTCATCACAGCAGGGCAAGGAAGAAGCTGGCATACATGAGGCTCTTCCCGTGTGCCAGGAGACACAACATGAACCCACTGCGGCCCCACTGTTTGCTTCTTGCTCCGTGCATGGGCTGATGAACCAGGTTGAAATCCTGGCTCCACCACTTACCAGCTGAACCTCTGGACAAGTCGGTGTCTTTGGGGCCTCAGTTACCCCATCTGTAAAATGGGAAGAGTATGGACAGAGTATTTCTAGGTAATTTGCTGGTTAAATCAGTTAATAGTACCAGTGCTCAGTGTGAACCTGCCACGAATTAAGCGGCGTACAGGTGTCGTCTGTTAACAGCAGTTGCTCCATAGCTGCAGGGAATGCGGGCCGCCGTGGATGCCTGACACTGTAGGTAGTGCAGAACCCTGTATATGCTGTTCGTTCCTCTTCACACGTACCTATGGTAAAGTTTAACTTATAAATTAAATACAGTACACTGAGGCTTTGAGGCCATTACTAAGTAAAGTAAGGGTTGCCTGAGCACAAGCCCTGTGAGACTGTGATGGTCCATCTGGTTACAAATGCAGCTACTGAGTGACCAACATGGATAGCAGATGCAGTGTGGGTGCGCTGGACTAAGGGACCACTTGCATCCTGGACGGGACAGATTCATCATGCTACTCAGAGTGACATGCAATTTAAAACTTAGCGGAATATTGGCTGGGTGTAGTGGCTCATGTCTGTAATCTCAGCACTTGGGGAGGCGGAGGTGGATGGATCACCTGAGGCCAGGAGTTCAAGACCAGCCTGGGCAACATGGTGAAACCCTGTCTCTACTAAAAATACAAAAATTAGCCAGGTGTGGTAGTGGGCACCTGTAATCCCAGCTACTTGGAAGTCTGAGGCAAGAGAATTGCTTGAACCTGGCAGGCAGAGGTTACAGTGAGCTGTGATTGTGCCACCACACTCCAGCCTGGGCAACAGAGTGAGACTCCTACAGAATTTAGGCTGGGTGTAGTATCTCACTCCTGTAATCCTAGCACTTTGGGAGGCTGAGGTGAGAGGATCACTTGAACCCAGGAGTTTGAGAACAGCCTGGGCAACAGAGTGGGACCTCATCTCTCCAAAAAAAAAAAAAGGCCGGGCGCGGTGGCTCAAGCCTGTAATCCCAGCACTTTGGGAGGCCGAGGCGGGTGGATCACGAGGTCGAGAGATCGAGACCATCCTGGTCAACATGGTGAAACCCCGTCTCTACTAAAAGTGCAAAAAATTAGCTGGGCATGGTGGCACGTGCCTGTAATCCCAGCTACTCAGGAGGCTGAGGCAGGAGAATTGCCTGAGCCCAGGAGGCGGAGGTTGCGATGAGCCGAGATCGCGCCATTGCACTCCAGCCTGGGTAACAAGGGCGAAACTCCGTGTCAAAAAAAAAAAAAAAAAAAAAAAAAGGATGGCATTTCCATTTAATATTTTTGAACTGGGGGCCAGGCGCGGTGGCTCAAGCCTGTAATCCCAGCACTTTGGGAGGCCGAGGCGGGTGAATCACGAGGTCAAGAGATCGAGATCATCCTGGTCAACATGGTGAAACCCCGTCTCTACTAAAAATACAAAAAATTAGCTGGGCATGGTGGCGCATGCCTGTAATCCCAGCTACTTAGGAGGCTGAGGCAGGAGAATTGCCTGAACCCAGGAGGCGGAGGTTGCAGTGAGCTGGGATCACGCCATTGCACTCCAGCCTGGGTAATGAGCGAAACTCCATCTCAAAAAAAAATATATATATATGTATTTGAACTGCAGGTGATCGTGGGTAACTGGAACCACAGAAAGCAAAACCGTAGCTAAGCGGGGACTACTACGTTCATGTTTGGCAAAATCGGAGGGCGGGGCTCCAGATGGCCAGGACGAAGCTCCCTGTACTCATGCCACCCTGTGACTTAACAGATGAGGAAACGGGCCGGGGAAGGGGCAGTGACACAGCTGGGATCTTCACCCCTACCGGTGAACTCTCCCAACCTCTCAGGAAGAGTTAACGGGGTGGGTTTTCTCAGCATGCTGTTTTGCTTTCGCAAGTAGTTCTTAAGCTGGGCAGAACCAACAGCCTGGCTCCTGGTGAACCCTGGGATGGAGGTGGGAGCAGCTAGCCAGTGCGATGTACTTCCGAGGGTGCTAGGTGCTGGACGACAGTGGGAATCGAACCAGGCAGGTCTCATCCTTAGAGCCTGTGTCTGGGGGGTAACAGATGGAAGGATAAGAACTGCAAGTGGGGATGTGGCGGCCATGAGACCCAGGAGGTCAGGGAAGGCTTTCTGGAGGAAGTGACTGCAGAGCTGAGACCTGGTGCACAGGCAGATGTTGGCCAGACTTTGGCTCAGATTATGCTGGTGCTGGGGTGGGGGCCTGGGGATCAGAAAAGATGCTGAGATCTGGCGGAGACAGGGAAGGGAAGCCCAGAGGCCCCATCCCAGCCACACCCACCTCACTCTTGCCCCTGCCTTCTGCCCTCCAGATCGAGACGCTCCCTCCGGAGCTCTTCCAGTGCCGGAAGCTGCGGGCCCTGCACTTGGGCAACAACGTGCTGCAGTCACTGCCCTCGAGGGTGGGCGAGCTGACCAACCTGACGCAGATCGAGCTGCGGGGCAACCGGCTGGAGTGCCTGCCCGTGGAGCTGGGCGAGTGCCCACTGCTCAAGCGCAGCGGCCTGGTGGTGGAGGAGGACCTGTTCAACACGCTGCCGCCGGAGGTGAAAGAGCGGCTCTGGAGGGCGGACAAGGAGCAGGCCTGAGTGCGGCCGGCCCAGCACAGCCAGCAGCGGGACCGCCAGCCAGTCCTCAGGCCCAGAGGGCCAGGCCCAGCTTCTCCCAGAGCTCCCGGACAGCCAGGCCAGCCTTGCAGCCGGGCAGGAGCCTGGGGTCAGCTGTGAGTCAGGCCAGAGGGGACAGTATCTGCGGGGCTGGCCCTTTTCTCCCTGAGACTCACGCCCCCTGGGGCAAGCGGCTGTGGAGGAGAGCAAGTCTCAGCGCAGTGTTTGGATAATCAGGGTCTCCTCCCTGGAGGCCGTTCTCTGCCCCAGGGGCTGAGCTGCCCAGAGGTCCTGGGACTCTCACTTTAGTTCTTGGTATTTATTTTTCTCCGCCTCCTGCCTCCTTCATCCAGATAACTTATACATTCCCAAGAACGTTCAGCCCAGATAGAAGGTGTTCAAGGAAGGGTGGGCTGCGTTTTCCCTTGTCCTTATTTAGCGACGCCACCAGGCATTTAGTGCTCACCCAAACTGAGCAGAGTGGTCCGGGGCAAACCAGCCGTGGGACGGTCACCCAGAGGGGCCGGGCTGGGCTCTGGCAGTGCGGTCCGTGGGAAAGCAGGCCTCCAGCTGGAAAGGCCAGGCCTGGGGCTTGCCTCTTCAGTTTTTGTGGCAGTTTTAGATTTTTTTTTTTTTTTTTAATCAAAAAACAATTTTTTTAAAAAAAAGCTTTGAAAATGGATGGTTTGGGTATTAAAAAGAAAAAAACACTTAAAAAAAAAAAAACAAAAACAAAAAAAACAACACAACACTAATGGCCAGTGAGTTGGAGTCTCAGGGTGGGGTGGCAGTTTTTCTTGAGCAAAGCAGCCAGACGTTGAATTGTGTTTCCTTTCCCTGGGGCGCAGGGTGCAGGATGTCTTCCGAATCTCATGTGACCTTGGTCCAGGGGTTCTGTTTGTTCCTGGGGCAGGGAGGGTTTTTTTTGGTTTGTTTTTTGGGTTTTTTTCGTGTCTTGTTTTCTTTCTCCTCCATGTGTCTTGGCAGGCACTCATTTCTGTGGCCGTCGGCCAAAGGGAATGTTCTGGAGCTGCCAAGGAGGGAGGAGACTCGGGTTGGCTAATCCCCGGATGAACGGTGCTCCATTCCCACCTCCCCTCCTCGCGCCTGCCCTGCCTCTCCACGCACAGTGTTAAGGAGCCACTTCACCCAGACTCTGTTTCCCCACCTCCTATGGCATGGGTGTGCCCAGTGCCGCTGCTGGCCTCCGCTGCTTCCATCAGCCCTGTCGCCACCTGGTCCTTCATGAAGAGCAGACACTTAGAGGCCGGTTGGGCACAGGGAGGTCGCCCCTGGGACCGTAGACTCCCTGACTTTGGTTCCAAGCCAGTTTCCGTCCCTGGCGCCTGGAGTGCACACAGCCCAGTCCGCGCCTGGTGGCGGGAAGCCACCCTGCTTTAGATCAATCACTCGGGTCCCCACCTTAGAAGGGTCCCCGCCTTAGATCAATCACGTGGACACTAAGGCACGTTTTAGCGTCTCTTGTCTTAATTATTATGTCCGTCCGTCTGTCCATTGCGTTTTCTGCGTCATGTCATTGGGTATAATCCTCAGAAATAATGCACACTAGCCTCTGACAACCGTGAAGCAATCCGTTACACGTGGGTCTGAACTTACAGACTCGGTTTCCAGTATCAAATAAATCTATAACAGAAAGTGGCCTTTGGAGGTCTTCGTGTCCTGGGAGGACCCTTCCCTCATTTCTCTGAAGCCTGCTGGGCCGTGTGGACCATTGCTTGGGCACCTGCAGGAGAGTTTACTCTGCTCATCTCTCTGCCCGTGAGACTGTGTGCCTTTGGAGACACTTACTGGAGATTGTAAGCTGGACGGAGCACCTGCTAGGTAACAGGCTGAGACCCGGGCCAGGGATCCCAGAGCCAGCACATTCTGCCATCCTAGTCACCTGTGGTTGGGCCTTCATGAGGGTTTTTTGTTTTTTGACAGGGTCTCATTCTGTCACTGAGAGTACACTCCTGGAATGTAGTGGCGCGATCACAGCTCACTGCAGCCTTAACCTCCCCAGGCTCAGGTGGTCTTCTCACCTCAGCCTCACAAGAAGCTGGAACCACAGGGGCATGCTGGCTAATTTTTGTATTTTTTGTAGGGACAGGGTTTTGCCATGTTGCCCAGGTTGGTCTCAAACTCCTGAGCTCAAGAGATCTACCCACCTCAGCCTCCTAAAGTGCTGGGATTATAGGCATGAGCCACTTTGCCTGGCCCCTCATGAGTTTTGATGGGTGGGGATGGGAGAGGAGGTCACTGGAATGGAACCATTAGTCCCGGGCCTCTGTCCCATCATGGGACAGGACATGCAGGAAGCTAGCGCTTCTCTCCAGTGGCCTCCCATATCCCCATGTGTACAGTGGGAATTTCCACTCTGTGCTCTCAGAGGTCTCTTGCAGTTCCAACAGTGAGTCCCAAGTGTTCTACAGATGTGGGGCTGAGAGTCACTGTGGGGAGACCTGCCTCAGCTCCCAGCCCCTTTGGGAGCCTTTGGGAGGTACTGGGGTCCCAGGCGGAGGCTCTGAGACAGCTGCTTCCAGATCACAGTTCTGCCACATTTGATGTGGGGCTTCAGTTTTCTCCTTTGTAAAATGAAGAAGGTAATGGCAGACTCGCAGGACGTTCCGAGGGACAGTGGCGATTGTATAGGTTTGTAGTGGAGGGCTGGCTCCTAGGACCCAGTAGCTGGCCTTGTATCTTCCTTCCAGACCAAGGATCCTTGTGGGCCAATGGGGGCGCCCTACAGCAGGAGTCTTTGGGTGAGGAAGAAAAGGCCATCATATCTGACTTTGGCCTTAGTGATGAGGCCTGGGTGGCTGCCTGGGCACCTCCTTTGCAACTGGCCAGAGTCTGTCCTTCCTCCACGGGGACTCTGACCTCCCCAGGTGATCTCAGGCCTGAGCCAAGATGCCCTCCCTCTTGCCTCTGCCATGGGCTTTCTGACAGGCTGAGCAGCTGGACTGTGACCCCCTGCAGAGGCTCTTTTCTGTCTCCATGGTGGCGGTCTCTCCCTGAGTCTGGTACCCTTCCCACCACCCACCAACCTCCACCCCCAACCCCACTCCCACCCCACCCCAGCCTTGACGCTGTCCAGTGCTCAGAGCAGGAGAGTTCGATCTGGAGCTGGTTAGCTTTTGGAAAAAACAACCATGTGGAAACACCGCCCACCCACTTCCCAAAGCTGAGCAGAATGAAGAGTTAGTTAGTGGGAGCTGGGCCTCCCCCGTCCCCCTCCCCCACCCGCCTAGGGCTCTCCACTCTGCCTAAAACCACTGTGGTGGTCTTCTCTCTGATTGTAACAACAATTTCGGAAGCTCAGAACAATTTTTTCTCCATCATATTCCACCCAGAACAGCCCCTGCTAACATTTGATGAACAAGTTTTTCGCCAGTTGGTCGGCACTTAGTGCCAGGCCAGGTGCCAAGCTCTTTATCAGCCGTGAAGCATTCATCTGATTTACCACTCACAGGGGAGCCTTCTGCTAGCCCCAAATTACAGACTGGGAAAGTAAGGCCTGAACAACTGGGATGAAAATGCAGTCTGCCTCACTGAGCCTCCTCTATAAGCCTTCTGTGGGGGCTCCCAGGGGGTGGCTGGCCCAGCCTGAGGGGACCTCAGTGTTCCTGGCACACGGTAGGCATCTGTCTTTGTTGGGCAGTTGAATCAGAAGGGCTGAGGACAGCTGGGAACACACCCTGCCTCCAGCAAACCTCGTGGTTCTGTCATCTGCCTGCCCCTCACCCAGCCTAACCCTTCTGAACCGGAAGCTTGGGCTGCACTCAGTGCTTACCCTCCCCCCACCCCACCCCACGACCTGGCCCAAGCAGCAGCTCCGAGAGCGGTGGCCCAGCAAATACAGCTTGACTCGGGGCCAAGGCTCTTGAGGGCTGAGCAGTGTCCCCATGCTCACTCCTGAAACACTTTGTCCCTTCGCCATTCAGAAGGCATCCTTTTGGGGAAGGCAGTGGCTGGTTTTTCAGAGCCAGAGAGTGGCCCTGCTAGCTCCTGGGCAGGGCGGGCTGAGAAGGGTGGTGTGCAGGTGTTCTGACCTCACCTCCACTGTGCCAGCCCGACTTGAGATGCCAAGTATCTTAGGCTTGAGGGTGGGTAACGAGGCATCTCTCTCACTCCAGCCGCTTCCTCTTCCTAAGATACCTGTGTCTTCTGCCTTCCTGTGAGCTCCGGATGGATGCGTTAATTCCCTTCCATAATCCTCCCAGGACGGAGAGGCTTTCAGATCAGGGCTGGGAGGGGCCCAGACAGTTCTCCCCAGGACCTCTTCCACCTTTGGAATGCCCATCACCTGGGGGAGGGGGGTGTCACACGCCCCCCAGACCCATCCTGCATTCCACTCTATCCAGATTGAGGCCTAGAGAGGGGCAGAAGTCCCTTAGAGTCACGGGGAATGGCAGCGCCTGGACTGATACTCCGCCCAGCTTCTTTGCCTGACCCTCTCAGAGTATAACTGCCGGGCACCTGGTAAGCAGTGGTGGGCGGTGGTTTCCAGAAAGAAACACAGAGGGAGCAGACAAAAACCTTGGAGATGGGAAAGGGCAAATCCTGGATTCGTTGTGGGGGTGGGAGAGATTAGCCTGGAGGTCACAGGCTGATCTGGCAGTGTCTCCGGGAAGAGGGTTGGGTGGTGGGATCGGGTTTTCTCCGGGTAGGGAAGGGTTAAGTCCTCCCAGGCTCCTAAACTTTCTCCTCCCCACCCGGAGGCAGCACCTAGAAGCCGCCCAGTGCCCCGAGCTGTCTCCATGGCCCGCCTGAGCTCCTCGCAGCTCCAGAAGGTAGGAGCCTGCAGGTAGGGGCTGGGAGGGTCATGGCGGGGGCGCTGGAGGGGTCACCGCGGTAGCCCCGGTGCTCAACCCACCCCTTGCCCCATTTTACCGAGGAGGAAACCGAAATCCAGAGGCGCCTGTTCCCAACCACAACCCCTGACTTCACACACAGCCCGGGGTGTCCAGATCACAGGACGCAGGGTGGGGTGGGGTAGGGGCTTGTGTGTTTGACCAAAACAAGAATAAAGCCTCAGAACCCCGCAGTTCCGCCCCGGGCTGGAATCGGCAAGGAGGGGAGGGGGGGCAGCGCCCAGGAGGGGCGGGGCTCGCGAGAAGGGCCCAGGTCCGTCCAATCACAAAAGGCTACCACGTGGGAATTAGAAAGCACAGTATTTTGCCGGGCGCGGTGGCTCAAGCCTGTAATCCCAGCACTTTGGGAGGCCGAGGCGGGTGGATCACGAGGTCAAGAGATCGAGACCATCATGGTCAACATGGTGAAACCCCGTCTCTACTAAAAATACAAAAAATTAGCTGGGCATGGTGGCGCGTGCCTGTAATCCCAGCTACTCAGGAGGCTGAGGCAGGAGAATTGCCTGAACCCAGGAGGCGGAGGTTGCGGTGAGCCGAGATCGCGCCATTGCATTCCAGCCTGGGTAACAAGAGCGAAACTCCCTCCTAGGCTGAGACTTAATATCTTCGTATACAGCTCTAGAAATTTTCTTCCATTACAGCAGCTACCACGAATCAAGTGCTGGACAAGTTTTTTTTTTTTGAGGGAGTGGGGAGGAGACAGGGTCTTACTACAGGCACACACACCCCCTCCCCCGACACAGAGTTCATTATTTTATTTATTTTTATTTTTTGCACGATATCGGCTCACTGCAATCTCCACCTCCTGGGTTCAAGCAATTCTCCTGCCTCAGCCTCCTGAGTAAGCTGGGAGTACAGATGTGCACCGCCATACCCAGCTAATTTTTCTTGTATTTTTAGTAGAGATGGGTTTTCACCATGTTGGCCAGGATGGTCTGGATCCCCTGACCTCGTGATCCACCCACCTCGGCTTCCCAAAGTGCTGGGATTATAGGCGTGAGCCACTGTGCCTGGCTATTTTTATTTTTTATTTTTTTGAGACGGAGTCTCTGTCGCCCAGGCTGGAGTGCAGTGGCATGATCTTGGCTCATTGCAACCTCTGCCTCCTGGGTTCAAGGGATTCTCCTGCTTCAGCCTCCCATGTAGCTGGGAGGAGCAGACCACCATGCCTGGCTAATTTTTGTTTTTAGTAAAGACAGCGTTTCATCATATTGGCCAGGCTGGTTTCGAACTCCTGACCTCAAGTGATCTGCCCCCTTCAGCCTCCCAAAGTACTAGGATTATAGGCGTGAGCCACTGTGCCCAGACTGGAACCTGACTTTTTTTTTTTTTTTTTTTTGAGACAGAGTTTCATTTTCATCACCCAGGATGGAGTGCAATGGTGCGATCTCCACTCACTGCAACCTCTGCCTCCTGGGTTTTTAGTAGAGAAAGGGTTTCACCATGTTGGCCAGGCTGGTCTTGAACTCCCAACCTCAAGTGATCCGCCTCCCTCAGCCTCTCAAAGTTCTGGGATTACAGGTGTGAGCCACTACGCCAGCCCTATTTTTATTTTTGTAGAGATGGGGGTCTCATCACTATGTTGCTCAGGCTGGTCCTGAGCTCCTGAGCTAAAGCGATCCTCTTGCCTCAGCCTTCCAAAATGCTGGGACAACGAGGCACGAGCTGCCGAGCCCAGCCTGCCAGGTTCAATAAAAGAGGCTGTGCTGTCATCCTCATTTGATAGCCTGAGGGCCAGAAAGAGGAAGGAACTTATTTGGCCAAGTTCTCACAGTGGCCAGATAA